TCAGAGCAAATTCAAGGACATAATTAGAAGAGATAATAATCACGTAAAAATCTAGTGATTGAATCTAATATCTTTAAAAAATTAAAAAACAAAACCCTTAACATATTAAACTATCTGAATTATTTTAGAGAAGTTTTAATAATTAACTTTAATAAAATTAAAATACATCGTGATTGTTTCTTTTTACCATAATTTAATGCCGGTGTTTTGCTCAAAGCAACTTTTGTTCATAGAAATTTAAAAATTAATTTTAATGAAATCAAGATATAATAACATAATCAATTTTTAATTACACTCGAATACTACGACATTATTCATCATTTGTTTATTTTATTAATTTATTTTAATTTGTATAGATACTAATTAGATCTTATTACCTTTTCATAAAATTCTAAAAAGATATCTATTTACCGATGATAAGGGTTTAGAGTGAGTTTTGTAAAATCTGAACTTGACTCATAATATATTACATAAATTCGAATCTACTCCGAATTCGGAACAAATTTAAAAACATAATTAAAAGAGAATGATAATCACATAAAAAATTCTAGTGACTGAATCTAATATCTCAAAAAATTTATAAAAAAAAATAAAATCTTAACATACTAAACTATCTGATTTATTTTAGAGAATTTTTAATAATTAACTTTAATATAATTAAAATATATCATGACTTTTTTTTTTTGACCAAGTATTTAATGTCGGTCTTTTGCTCGAAGCAACTCTTGTTCATAAAAATTTAAAAATTAATTTTAATAAAATCAAGATGCAATAACATAATCAGTTTTTAATTACACTCGAATGCTGTCGATATTAGTCATTATTTATTGATTTCATTAATGTACTTTAATTTGTATAGATACTAATTAGATTTTATTTTCATTCTATAAAATTGAAAAAAAAATATCTATTTAGAAATGTAGAATTTAGAACGTGTTTAGAAATAAAAGGTAGGGTTTAGAAAGGGTTTTGTAAAACCTAAACCTAACTCGTAATTATAATACACAAACTTAAATTTTTCCCCAACTCGGAACAGATTCGAGAAAGTAACTTTTATTTACATCTATACGATTTGCAAGTTAAACCCACCCACCCCAGCCTCTCCCTTCCCCTCTTCCGCCGTAAATTTAATTATACATATGAACTGAAACCCATAAAGTTCAAAGGTTTTAATATATATATATATATATTTAGGGGAAAAAAAATTGTAAATTAAGATATATATATATATATATATATTTTTGTTTCTTTGATTTTTACAAGTGAATTTTCCGAAGAGGATAAATTGTACTAGACAAGAATGGATAAAACAATCAATTCAGGAAGCCAAACATGCACCAACCTAAGGGGATTCTTTTCTTTCCCGCCTTTTTGTTGAAAATGTTAAGAGTAATCTTCTCCGTTCAATCCTATTCATATGTCCACGTGTACGGTCCAAAACCTAGGGCAATTCGTAAGGATAATAATAAAGCGTCACTGACTTTTTAAAAAAGACAAAAAATGGAAGGACACTTACACAGAATCTATATAATGAGCCCCTAATGCTGCCTCTTGAAAACGACGCTTAACAGACGGAAGAGTTATATCTTTCAACGCCGGGTTTGGTGTTGATCAATTGAATCATTACTTACAGTTAACAGAATTTGTGAGTTTCAGATCTCTTGTTCACCATGTCTGACGAGCAAGTTCCAGGCTCTCCTTCCACCGTTAATGAAGAAAACCAACAAGAACTGGTTATACAGAACCTCGATCATCCTGACAAGGCCTCTAGTCAGGGCTCTCATGACCATTTAAATCCCAACGACCATGTCAACCCAGATGACCATGAAGAGAAACTCGAAAGGCACGAATATGAAAAGACAGAGGAGGCTCCTACTGCGAATAAAGGTGGTGGTGATGGGTCGGGACAAAAGAAGAAAAGAAAGGGGAGATCCAAAGTGGATGGTGATGACCAAGTTGGCTCTAGCAGTGGCGGTGTGAGAAAACACAAAAGACCGCGTGTATTAGATGCACCCAATTGTAAGCCGTCATGTCCAGAATGTGACAAGAAGTTTTCGTCCTGGAAAGCCATGTTTGGACACATGAAAAAACATCCAGGAAAGGGTTACGAGGGAGCCTTTCCGCCTCCCAAGTTTACCCCGCCCACCTCTCCAAAGAAACCCGTCAGCGCTGATGAGCAAAGGGGAATTGAAGAGGCTGTTCCGGCTTTGCTTCATCTGGCGAGAAGAATGACAGGGACAGATGATGACAGGGAGACTGAGGAGGATGGTGGTGGGACAAGAAGGGAAATTGAGATCAATCTTAATGATTCCCAAAAGCCCCAAGAAGAAGAACCTCCATCATTGTCAGAAACTGGTGACGTCAAGGGTTTTGATCTCAATCTTACTCCACCCCACGAGGATAATTGATGTTATCGATTGATGATGAGTGATCATCAATCATTACACCTTTCGTTTTCAGTTTGAACATTCCAAATGGTGTTATACCTTTTTTTCCCCGAGTTGTTATTGACTTAGATAGAGTTACTATAATGAGTTTTTAGTATGTAAACATCTTTCATCAGTTATTTTTTTATTTTTCTCTCTCTCATGATTACATATATATACTTATATTTATCTCGCTGCATTTTATTTCTCTCTTCAGCTAAGACTACCTCTTCATGTAATAATTCCTCTTAACTATATTTTTCTTACTTCATCTCTTGCAAATATGATGATCTTAATTTTGCCCTTTTATCATGGCTTCCCTCATCTGTGGACTTGAATTGGTTTCCTGCATGCTTCCCATCTACTACCTGATTTCCCATTGGTGATATTTGAAATGCTCTACCTTATGCATATTCATTTTCTGCTATTAGCCTGTTATATTCCCAGATTTTAGTGTTTGTAATCTTCTTCCTTTGTCCAATATAATGTCCACTATACCCTGTATGTTCTTGACATAAGTAATTTGCTAGAATTTGTGCAGAACAGAAAATCATGACTTATCACAAGCTTTTTCCTTCGAGGGTGGGAGAAATGAATTGCCAGACTGTCTAGATATATCTTTAAATGATGTCTATAGATATTTTAACCATAACATACATAATTCAGTAACGTTAGAAACAGATGCTTGCATACAAACAATTCATAATCTGCTTCTTGTTGGTGATGGTGATTGTGGCTGGTAAACCCGTAAGTGGTGATGCTTTTGTAATCATCACCAGTTAATGCATGTCAAGCCCTATACTGGTTCTATTACATTTGGAGTCTTGACATGTGAGGTAAAAGGATTTCTGTAATAGACTCCTTCGGTCTTAGTCACGTGCCTTCTACAACATTTGCATCGCTATAACTAATCGAAACATGGATAATTCATGATCAATTAATTTACACTATAGTAAATTTCATATTTACTTAATTTTCTTTCTATATTAGGCATATATATATTTTGAATAATATCTTTTATAATATAAAAATTACGTAATTTAGAAAAAATTTACGCAACTCTATAAGAAAGTATACTTTTGCTCCAAATTATATATAAAAAAATTACTTTCTATATCACGTAATTACTCTTCCAAATTATACTTTAAGAGTTTAGATATTTTAGCTAGTACATATTAATGCATTATTTAAACACAATTAATTGTTATTAAGTAAGAGTCAGTGTTTTTTTTTTAGTTTTATGTTGGGTTTTAATTAACTATGTGAGCTTAAATGTAAAAATTATTATACATAAAAATCTACTAAATTAATTAAATTTGTTTAAAAGTAATATGATATAGTTAAGTTCATTTTAAATTTTAATGCATCAAATAAAATATGAATCTTTATGTGTAAAGATCAAAGTATTATTTCTAATTTTATTATGAGACAATTTATAAATGATAAAAATTAAGATTATAAATATGCAGTTATGTTTTTCAAATTATACATAAGACTTTTTTTTTCTGACATATCATTATAAAAAATAGAGTGTGAAAAAATTTCAAAAGACTCTATGTTGATTTGGAAAATCATGTTGTTTTCTTTCATTATGGAGTCAGATACACTCCCGATTCATACTTAAATTTTAATGATTTAATATGAACGTTTTTAATTTATTTAGATTCATTTTTTTTATTTTATTCCCTACATCACATAGATAAGGAGTGATAAAAGTACTCTAATTCTATTTTATGAGGTTCCCACCAATTATAATTATTAAAATTTATTCTCTAATAATAAACTTAACAAGTATGATTAATTTGCTTTATTTAAATAATGTATGCGATAAATTAATAGTAAAAAAAAATTAGATGAGAAGAAGACGTCTCCAATAACTTTTTTTTTTTTTTTTTTTCAATATATATGTTCTGAATAGAAGTATTATATTTTCTCAATAAAATCAAATAAATAAAAGCATTATATATTTCTGCTCATTTTTATATTATTCAAATAATAAATATAATTTTTTTATTTTTTTTAATTAAGCTTTTTTTTGTTTTAAATAATCTTATGAATATATGAATTAAATCGTAGAAGAAAATTTTTAATTCTGAATTACCAAAAAAAAAAAAAAATTACTCAAACTTCAATTTCAAGCCCACCAGATCCATATGTTTAAACCTTGGTCCCCGAACCCGGGTGGGTTGTGAACCCACTTTAAGACCGTTTGGGTCGGGTATACCCGACCCTTTTTGGAGGGGTTGAATTTCCGTATTAGACATAAAGTCGCCAACAAATACCTGAATCTCTTTCATCTCTCTTCACCGCCAAGGGCCCGGCCCAGATATGTTCTATAAATTAAAATCCTACTTTCTTTTTATTAATAGTTAGTACATTTTTTTTATAGAATATTATTAATATATCTTAAAATATTAATAATTAATATATGTAATTATAATTAACATAATTAATAATATTAATCAATATAAAATATCAATGATTAACTATTAAGACATTAACATTTCGTAAGCTTCTTTTGAAGATAAAAGGTTAAAAAAAAAAAAAGAGGTAAAAAATTTGATATAATAACTTCTTTTGAAGATAAATACATGGAAGCATATGTACGTACATTTAAAAAAAAATTATATATGTGTATATATTAATTAAAAAAACTTTATGTATTCTTTTTAAAAACATTGGTACATATATATATGACTATTAGAACTTAATGGGCCTTCTAATATTCATTTCAAAGGACTATTTTTATCTTTATATTTTTCCTACATCTGAATCAGCTTTTGTATTGCATATGTACTTAATTATGTTTCTAATACACCTACTAAAGTTTCAAATGACTCTTAATTATTTTAAAACATAAGTCTAAATCATATAATTAAGGTATTAAACTAATCATATATTATCAAAAACTACTTTAATTATGCCGTAATTTTTGAAGTGATTAGAATGATTAGTCGTTTGTGTTTGGTTATTTTTATTAAATAAAAAAAAATTGCATCATAATGATGTAAAAATATTAATTAATACGAAAAGTTAGAAAGACAAGGACAATTGACTGACGGGCTGACAATTGTCGTGTGGTAACCTCAGTCTCACCTGACATGTCCTTTTTACTTTGCTTCTTCCACTTGCCTCCACAACGCACGTTTCAATTCCTCAAAGTCAACAACCCTTATCCCCTT